TCCATTGTCCTCCCCATATCTTGATTAGCTGGAGCTACAGTCTTTTTAAGAACTGAAAATAATTTCTCTGGGGTTACCATTAATATTTCTCATTATTTGTAGTTCTTTCAATGTATGCGTTGCCCAAACTTCAATAGATTAAATAATAAAGCATTATTGCTGTGTAACTTTCCACAAATAAGTCTGCTACATTGAAGAACTATCCTTTGGTGCATTATAGGATTGGAGCTATAAGTTAGACAGAACACTTGGATTTTGCATTCTCCCTTCCTTGAACATTAATATCTGTGTTTAGTGTCTTCAAAGATGCAAGGAACTTATGTTTTCTTTGTATTATTTATATTTATTTTTCTACGAATAAGACATTTTCAACGACTACACAGCTCTAATAACCTTCAAGGAATATATAGTACGTTACTTCTAAATCTTTCTAGAAAATGCTTATCAAATTAATGTGGTTGTTTTGGAGAAACTGAGTATATGCCCTTTCTCTGAGACAGCCACAATATATTTAAAAAAAAAAAAATCATACTGGCCTATGCATGCATTCAGACAAGTTCTTAATTAGTTCAGGTTCAGACAGCATGCAACAGAGCAGCATATTGTTATTGTACATTGTATTCCAATATTGGCGGAACCACAAATTAAATTATTTCAATAGAGAGGGGAGTAGGAAAACATTCACTCTTAATTCAACCACTTCCATAGCTTTTGCCCAAAAAACACAGCAAGAATTGGTCCTTCCTCATTTAAGAACCCTGCTATTCTGCATGTTCCAGTCTAAAATGTCTATTTAATAGAACATCAGTATCTGCTTACGTATTTAGAATGTAGTAAATGGCATGTCCGGAGTCTACCAATTGAAAATTTAAAAATACTTTTTTAAAAATGCGAGATTTTTCCCTTCACTTATGTTGCAAGAATATGATGTATGTTTCTGTCATTTTTTCTACTCAGAAAAGAAATTCAGATTCCCGTCTTAAAGCAGCATCTATTTAGAGACAAGGCTCTCTACACTAGCTAGACTGTAAATTGTCATTTCAGGCTAGCTCAACAGATACAAGCTCCCAGTTGGGATCGTGTTTTGGAATTTATCAGTGATTCATACCAGGTATATTACTCACATGTTTTGGGTGGCAATTTATAGTTTGTGAAGCATGCAGTATGTGTTTTGTGAAGGCCTTCTAGACACTGTTGTCAGGTGCTTGTCAAGGATAAAAATAAGGTCAACCTTTGCCTTCAGGTCATAATAGTGGGGAGAAACAAAAACAACTTGGGCCTTGTGCCAAAAGACAGATGTGTAATTAAAAGCTTTATAGTGTGATGAAAACTCTATACAAAGTGGAGGCTTACATTGTTTAGAGACCTTTGCTTCATATACTGTTTGCTAAATATGACAGGAGCCATTAAGAAGGCAGGCAATATTGGTACCAAATTATAAAACAATTTGTAATTTTATGACCAAACACCAAAACTTGACAGCTGTTATTTTTCCTTGCTTAGTTACATAATTAAGTTCACATAGGACACCAGTTTTAAAACCTTGTAATTCACATCAACAGTAAGTTGCAAAAGAGTTATGTGACATCTCAAGTAGTACAATGTAATACAACTTTGTATAAGTTTGTACTACTTAGTTCTATCAGACACTTTAGGATTTTGACAAAATAGAAGCAGTTCTTGCATGCATGTAACTTTTCTATTTTTATAATACATGAAAAAGCCTTTTTTGAATGTAATCTACAAAGGTTTCAGAAGTGGAGTTGAGTCAAACCTGAAGAAAATATGTGCCTGGGGTTGCTTGTTCTAGTGGTTTTCCCTGTCCCCTTTCTCCTTAAACTGGATCTGGACATGAACTCTATTCAAATTTTTAACTTAAATGTCAACTAAACTAGACCAACATCAGCTGTGACCAAGCCAAATCCAGAACTGATTCAGAAGGTTTGATTGGGGGGTTTGGGGTGTGTTTTATTCCATTTTTCAGGTTCATTTTTTGTTCTAACTTTTGTGTTTTCATATCAAGCTAAAACTTAGGTGTAATTTTTAATTAGGCTGGTTTCCAGTCAATTTGTAGTTTCTTTAGAGATATATCTGCCTAAAGCTTATGTGAGAAACTAATAAATATCTTCTGAAACTTACTTTATGCATCAGTTCATTTCAGCAGTAATTCTAGGGAGTCTTTATTGCACCATGGTAATTATTATTGATTTATATATCTTTAACAACATTATTTGATTGTTTTCGTTCATTTTTGGGTTTTTCAAATTTCTTGCTGCTAGAGTTCAGAGAGACAAGCTAAAAGTTTATTAGAAGGTCACTTTTCCATATCTTTTATGTTCTAGTCAGGTTGTAATCTTTGCAGTTCTGAAATGGAAAATCTTGGGTCAACTTGCTTTTGTAATCCATAGTAATTTGCACGTATGCTGTAAGCCTGAAACTAGAGAACTTTTCCAGGAGAGCTGTCTTACTGCCACTGTGCGCACTGCTTCTATCAGGGTACCTGGGATTGTAAGAGGAACAGCAATAACAATTGTTATACTAGTTTCTTCTCAGTGATCACGGACAGACTCTCATAGTTCACAAACTTAACTGAGATCATTCTTGTTATTCTCTGCTTAGTTTAATTACTAGTACAGTCATAGATAAAGTTAATTTTTATCTATTCCTGTTCCTTCTTTCTCTTAAATAGCATCAGTGATGGCTTACATTTCCAAGGCTCATGTGTCATAATGATTGTCATAATGTCCACTTACTCTTTAATTTTATGGATTGGGTAAGATTTATCCCACTAGCGTATAGGTTTATGATAGAGTATTTTGGTGGTTTTCTGTTGGATCAATTGATATGAGTTACTCATTAAGATGTATATTAATCAAATCGTAGCCTCAAGACTTCTTACAAAAAAATCAAGCATGCAGGTGCGTGATTTCATTCTTGCCTAAAGACTATTCCTGTCAATGCAGGATTTCACTTCACAGGAAAACTAGTGTGAGAAGTTAAACTCTTCCTATGAAGATAATTTCCTCTTGTCCCATAAATTCTTTAGGTTCCTGAACTGCATGTTTGGATTTGTGCAGTTGAAGCAGCATGATCTAGAAACATAACTATTTCTAAAAGCACAGTAAAGGTTTGTCTTCCCAACACTGCTGCTATCTAAAACTTGTGTTGCTTGTTGGGAGAGGAGCACCTGGATTTTTGAAAAATCTTTTTACACAAGCCTGTCTAGTACAAAACATTTAGACTCCCATGCATTTTTAAAACTCTGGTGCTTTCAGTGGTTAAATCACGCTTTGTTAGAGAATATGTATCATGATTATCCCATAGTGCTCGTTGATTTACTGATAAAGAAATAAATTGGTGTTTTTTTTCCTCCTGTGTAGTGGAAAGGTATAGCTTCCATCTGAGACTTTACTATACATTTTACAATTGAAATCAATTCCAGGACTGTTAAGTGTAGGCTTTAACCAAGCCTTAAGGTTATTTGGCAATTTCACATCAATCCTAGTCATTGAGGTTTGAGGTTCAAGCTCTTAGTAATCTTGGAGCATGAGGTACATGCTCTTAATAATCTTAGTAAAGACTGTTTTGCATAAATGAAACTGCGTGTGAATGCAACATACTTTTAATGTGTTCCACATTGATATGATATTTCAGGAGACCCTTTCTTCCTTTAAATGATAAACTTCTGGTTTAGTATTTGGAAATTCTAAAGCTTTGATAAAGAGTAGTACTGTTCCCATATTTCTTATTGTTGTCTGTTAACAGATATGTACCGATGTGCTAGTGAACATGTAGGGTACAGCTGTATAAACAGGCTTTGCATGTGTAAGCTCTTGTTGCCTTAACCATTACACCTCAAGCTTTTTGACTGCTTGAAATATTTGTGTGCATGAAAAAACCTTTCATTTTAACAAATATTTCTTAACTACTCTTAGGTACTACATGCTTGCTTGCATTAGTATCACATCATGACATTTCTGAAGGAAAACTTTATTATGTAAACCTAAAGATGCATTACTAGCCTTAAAATACAATAAAATTAAACTTTTCTTAATCGTGGGCTGTCTTGACAGCAATTTCTTGTCAAAAAGAAAAATAGAAAAATTCCTTGTATACTTCTAGTTAGTGCTATGGAATAATATTTAGGCCCCTTATGAAGCAGCTTTTATCTTTAGCATCTGATTTGGACTCCTATGCTTTATTTCCTTCACTGGAATGGAAGGAATGAGCTTGTAGATATTAACATATTGCAGTTGATCAGGTTTGATGTGAGAATTAGATAGTAACATATTGCAGTTGATCAGGTTTGATGTGAGAATTTAGTGAAATTCCTCCATGTAAGGAAGAACACTTTCATAAGCACCCTAAAACTTAAATTCTGCACTGGACATCAATAAGGAGTTTTGCTGGAAAACAACCTTGGCAATGTAACAGTAAATACAAAGCATATTGCTGTAACAGTGAGAAAATAATTTGAAAAAAGGCACTGTAGTTCCATACGTCATACTGCACACATGATTGTAATCTTCAAGATCCTCTTTCATCTGACTTTCTTTTGCAATTACATTTTTAATATAACTCTAGGATTTTTTCAAACCAGAAATTATATTTGTACAGCATGTAAATAATTAACTGTTCTGATAAGTCTGTCTTGCTGAAAATATGGTGGGTTTCACTGAAATTTAATGAGAGAGTGTATTTTGTAAAGAAAACTTTAGTAGGAAGAAGTGACTCTACAATCACTGTGGGTAATGTCTAAATTAAAAAAAGTAGTATGTAACAGGAATTCTATCACAACTGGCTGGTTTCTAGCTAATAAGAAATGAAGTTCCTAACTTCAGTGGAAGAAAGGATAAAATAGCAGCTGTATTTATTATACACTGTTTTTTTGTTCCAGCAGGTCTTTGTGATATTAATGAAGGTACAATGGTGCCAGAAGATCGCTGCAAATCACCCACTTCAGGTAATCGTAACTTTCTCTGATTTTTCAGCTTTTTAATTGCCCAGAAGATGACATGCTTTAAGTCAATGTTTACTGGTTAAGTAATTATATAAACCCTGTTGTCTTCTCACAAACTGTTAGAGCTATCATAAATTTTGCTGTGTTGCACAACTGTATTCTGAAAACAAGGCTGATTTAAGAGATGCAACAGGAATATGTCATAAAGATGAGTGAATAGAGATAATCTGAAATATTTATGCTTCAGGGACCATACCGCACAATGGAATTTTGAAACACTTATGAGATGCATAAATTCCTGTAATAGTGCATGTGATTGTGTTTGAGTCCTAAAAAGTGGTGAACATTATTTCTGTAAAAAGAGCTACTTTACTTCTGCTTCCTCATAAGTGGTAAATTGCTATTTTTCTTTGTAATCAAGAGGTCTTCAGAAACTGGCATCCCTACTTAACAACCCCACCCCCCTTTTTTTTACTTACCACTACTGTATGTGAATATTTTAAATGAAAGCTTCAGTAATATATAGTACTAGTTAGTATTTTGTTTAATATTGACTAGTTGAGGCTATAGCCATGTAAATACTTAATAGTGCATGCCAATATATAGTATTTGAGATTATTATTTCACATAGTAGCTAAAACCTTGTCGCTTCTCTCAGAGTAATGGTGAAGATTTTTGAAATATGTCACTTTATCTTTTACTCTTTCAGTACAGCTTTGAATGAAAAGGACAAAATTGCCTCAAGTACCTAAAGTAGTATGTGCACTCTGCAATGTAGTGCAAAATGGTAATCAATGTAGGAATCTAAAGGTAGATTCCTTGTCTATTGTAGCCTGTACCTATCAAACCCAAGTTGAAAGCATAACAAAACAAAATATCTTGTTTGTAGAGCTAGTAGAAATTTAACATAAAATTTAATTTCTGATTTGACAACTGCTGTCTTTTGATGTTAATTTTAAATTGTGCACAACTCATCTAGATATCAGTTAATGTAACTTTTTTTTTTTTGCTAAACCTTTCTTAGAGTAAATTGGATTTATTATATTAAAGCAAAATTTGGCTGGAAATTTTAAAGTCTTAAGATGTGGTTTCATGACAAACCTGTGTAATGATAAGTATTGGCATGCTGAAGTTGTCAGCATCTTTAATGCAAGCATTTTTTGTGGTGTTTAGAATAAAGTTCATCTTTCCTATTTAGTTTTTAAATACTGACACCCATGTCTGTGAGCAACTTGCTGGGCAGTGCTGCAGTTGCACTAAATCACTTTCTCTGTCAAGATTAAGGAGGCTGATGATTCTTACTAAGGTATTTGAATTTGACCAACTTAAAGTCCAGGCTAAGTCTAGTTTCTGATAGACTACTATAAAATATGTACAGTGAACAGCTAATGAGTTGTAACCCTTAATTTGTATCCTTTTTCCCCTTGCGTCAGCATCACTCAAACATCAGCCCAAACCACTTCCAACTGGTGCTGCTAAAACTTAAAACACTGTATCATTTGAATTAGAGGATTTCTTCTGTAATCTGGAGTTGGAGTAAAACTCAGTTCACTGTTTCCATTAACAATGCAATGAAAGCAAGCCCAAAGATGAAAAATCAAGGTCTATATGCAAAAATCCTAAATATAAGTTGCTTCCCCTCCCTCTCTGTTTACCTCCCTCCTGAGTTGTGTTAGGTGAAGTAGGTTAAAAATTAATGCAATTTGGATATTTCTTTAAGAGGATCAAAAAAGGAGGAGACTTAAATAGATGAATTCAAATGTCATGAAAGAAAACAGAATTGGGGAAATGCCTAAGTCTGCAGAGGCAGAACTCAAATTGGAGATTGATTTGACTATTTTGAAGACTATTTTGAAGTTAGCTCATATTAGAATAAAATCTATAAGTTTGAAAACTGAGTATTCTGTAAAAAGAGTATATAATGTCTTGGGTACACATACAATACTAAAGAGAAGTAAGTCTAAAATACCAAAAATAGTGAATGCAGAAAAGATGGAGGGGAAAAGCCAGTGTTGCATTCCTCTAAAACAGAAACTTGAAGTACCAAGGTGGGACTGTGCCTGGCTTCCCTTGGTTCTGCCCTCTCCTACCAGCTCTTGGTGAATGAGATAAGGTTCAGCCTACACAGGCTTTTCCAGTGTTCCTTTGAGAATGGTACTTGGAGGAAGGCATCTCCCTGATATGGAAATCATTTGGTGATCTTTGTGAAGAGAGAAGAGCTCTGCAGTTTCTTAGGCTTGGTTTAAGTTTTACATCTTTCCTGGGCAAGAGCAGAAGCCTGGAAAGCGGCTTGAAAATGGCGTGCTTTTTTTCAGAGATGAAAGGACATTTTTGGGAAATCAGCTGCACAGTATTGGTGAGCTTGAGATGCAAGATAGAGGCTAGATTTAAATGAACTTTTTCCAGTCTAGGGGCTCTCTAGTTAAGAGGGAACTACACTAGCACAAAAAGTTTGCTTGTTACTAGCTTTAAGATTGAAGGATGGGATTGGCAATTGACTGCATTATTGGCTTTGACTGTTGCAATATGATCTGTAAAACAGACCAGCCACTGTTTTGGGCTGAAGTCTCCATTTGCTTAAGTGATGTAAATCTCCCACCTCTTCCACCTTTCCATGCCCTGGTGAAGAGAAGTGGAAGCTAACTTCCTCCAGTGGGAGGTTATACAGTTGTGAAAGGGACTACCTGCCTATGCAAGTTAGGAGAATATCCTACAGCTTTAATAACACAGAACTATAGAAATACTGTGCAAATGCAAGAGAAATGACTTTATCTCCTGCTTTTTCTACAGAAGTTAAAAAAACAGTTTTCAAAACTTGACTTTATTGTTATGGCTGTGTTCTGTGTATCATAATTTAAGTTAATATTTGTGTCTGGATCTATGATTAGGACAGCAATCTAGTCATTCAATGTAAACATTTTATTCAATTAGGGAAATATTTCTAGCTATAAACTTGCACTGTGCAACATTGTACTTTGCATTATAATTTTTGTGGTTAATCTCAATATGGCAGAATTCCTGTCATAACAAAATAATTTGTACTTTATAGTATCTAGTACAAGTACAGAGAATACCAGTATCAGTATTTGACATTTTAATACATCTTTGTATCTTCCTTAAACTCAAAGCTTGTATTAATACATTGGGTTTGTGTCAGATACATGTTTGTGTATACATTTCATTCTGTCTTCACTCATAGGTTCTGGTTCACCAAACAATTCTGATGATGATCAAAAAATGAATAATTTTATAGAAAAGGGTACAGTATTTTTCTTTTCTATAGTCTTATTTTTCTTCAGTTCATCCTTTGATACACTTAGATTGATCTTTTTTATTAAAATATTATTTACAGTGAAGACCAAAAGCAGAAAGTTTTCCAAGATGGTAGCCAATGACATAGGTAGGAACTAGAAAAATTCTGCTCTGTTTCTAATCCAGTGCCTTATTCTATGCAACACTAACCCAGCAGCAAAAAACAAAATAAAATTCAAATTTCAATCCATTAAGTTATTAATTTTTCATTCTTTGTGCTAATTGGTAATTCTTTGGGCTGTTTCTATACTAAATACATTGGGCACAATGATATTTTTTCTTTTTTTTTTTTTTTTTTAAATCAAGGATATTGGTGGTTTAAATGCTCTGATTTTACAATTGCGCTTCTCTGTTTTCTGGATGGGTGAAATTCTAATCTATACTAAGAGTTCAGTCTATGCAAGTCACAACACTATTCCACTACTTTTGCAAAGGTACCCTTTCTTTGAGAACATGTGGCTGATTAAATTTTTGTGTTGCATTCATAGCCATATGATCAGATCTCTATGTGACTATGGTCAAGATAGAGGTAGTATCATGTTTTCATTTAATCACCTGGAGGTCATATATGTATATATATAAAACTACACCCCATTACTTTTCCAGAACTATTTACTTTTCTGCATCCAACAGTGACACAATACCCTACTAGGTCCAGACTTGTGTCTTAGCAATTTGGTGACAAAATTGCCTTGGAATATGTTGTATGCAGGTAGATTGAACCCTTTTATGATTGGAATGGAAATTAACTCTGCTTCTGACAACTGGGTCACTAAATAAATGAAGGCAAGAGGCTGTATGATTTAATATTGGGAAAGGGACTTTTCTTCCCAAACTGGGATATGATTATTTTCATTTCAGAATTACTGTGTTAATGGTTCATTTTGTTTTCATTTAGTACCATTAGTATATCATTGTAGGAGGATTTCATTTTATCTCTTTAGTCAGATCAAAAGGTTGAAACTATATAGTAAAACTGTTAGCTAAACAACTATTTCATAGGTTGTGTTGAGCCATAGGTTAAAACTAGGGAGGAAGTGATTTCTTTTCCTATAGTGTCCCTTTGATTTGGTGTTTGGCACTTTGACTTTTATCCTAAACCATTAAATACTTTCATCACAATTCAGTAATTGAGGAGAAGAATCATTCAAAATTCAGTGAGATAAATATGAGTGATGAAGTCATCTTTGGAATCTGAGGTACAGAATGAGGAAGAGCAAGAATATTCCCTTTGCTCAGTACTGTGTTGAGCCCTCCTTGTCGTGATAACAGAAACGTTAAGGAAGATGAGTTCTGAGACTGTGGAAGCATGAATATAATTCAAGAAAGTAAATGGCTGTCAATATATTATGTCAATTCATCTGTAATTAAAAAAAGATTGAGTATCACTTACATGAGTATTGATTAATGTCTTCTAAAGGAAATTCAGGCTAACTAGAAACTTACATTCAATTCTTCTAATGAGAAAAACACTTAATCTCATGCACGTTATATCCATGACTGTCAATGAGATAGTGTTTCTCTTTTGTCGCAAAGCAGTTTCTTCTGAACTTAAGACAGCCTATCTTATGCAAAAAATAGTATCTTTGATTGGGACTTCGTTATTTTTTCACTTTTTGCAAAGAGTAATGTTACAGTATTAATAAAACATGCTAATGAAAATTTTATAGAACTATTGACATCTGTTTCAGCTTGAAGCCTTTCAAATGAAAGTATTGTGAATGTTTTTCACAGCTAAAAACCAAAAACGTTTACAAGTAATGCATTCTTTAGGGTATAAGTTAAACGCGGAGTTGAGACAATAATGCATTTGACATCTAATTCAGAAGTGTCTCCCAGTCAGCCCGTACTGTGATTTGTGTAACTTGCACAGTTTATTGGAAGTTCAAAGGAACTTAATTATTTCATCTTCATGCTGTTAGTTTTGTGTGGTTCGATGCAGTGCACTGAATGTTTGGGGGTTTTTCACTGCCGTGTTTTCTATACCTTATCTGGCATGTTTACTCTGCATGGGTCTTTCTGAACTTACATTCTAAGGTCTTCCACATAAGCAAAACACCTCTTTGGTGTTAATAGCTGCATGTTTTTGCATTTCGTTGTTTTAAACTGAATTGACAACTAAATGTGAATGGACAAGGAGTTTTGTAAAACGTGAGTGTCACTTAATATCATTAACGTCATGTTGTATGAAACAAATTGTTTACCATCAACTGTGTTCACATGAATGGATTTGATATAGCATGGTTGTAGCTCTCTGTACTGGCATACAGTGCAATCAGTTCAGGTTCTTTTCATTCTTTGTCAATGTGTGAAATGTAACCTTTCAAATGGATTGTGAAACAGAACAAGAATTATTTACGTTGATAATTTCAGTTGCTGTTAAGTCCTGTGTTTTTTTTGTCACATGGTAACAGTAAGTAAGGGAATACTGCTTGCAAAGTGAGAAGTAATTTCATTTCAGTGATAGGGAGATAAGGTGGTATCATGGAGCCATTGTCAATGTAATCACTTTATTGAAACTTATGTAGAGAGATCTTCATTTCTACAGTTTTCTGTCATTAGTGACAGTATCAGGCAAGGATCCTTGCATCACTAAAGGATCAAAAACCATCTAAGACTGCAACATTAGCATAAATAGAACAAAATGTAAATGCTTCATGTATACTGTTAAGATCAGTTGGTTTCTTTTTTTTTATTCCTAAATACTCTGTTGTTACTATCTGTTCCTTAGAATGGAATATTAACTCAAGTTAAAGACCTGTTGTGAGTGTGTTGCTTTTGGGTCACATTTCCATTTTATTTGCATCAGAGGTGAACTTTGGAAAAGTTACAATTACCTTAGATATATGGAGGTACTTGATTTAACTAACCATTTCTAGAAATTATAGAAAATACTGTGGCTATTATTAAAAGCAGCTGTTTGGCAAATATTTGAAAGTATAAATAATGTGCTGTAAGGTAATACAGAGAAGTGTACCAAGTGTAGATGAACTTACAGGAAGAAGAATTGGTAGGAAGCATTTAATTTCTAAGGTTGTGTCATTTTTTTATAGAAAGGCATTGTGATCCAACTTCAGTAGAAGCAAAACCTTAAGCTGTTTTACTTGTACTTAGGTCAGTTAATTATTTGGCATGAAGAGATATATGCGATTAAATAGATAGCTACGAATCAGGTCAGAAGCTGAGGTATTGTAACATCCATTACTGGAAGAAGCTTGAGTAAAGGTGCATGCAAAATATTGTAGACTAAGCCCTTCATAACTGTTCCACTAGGCTACATGTCAAATACTTTTCAGGAAAGTTTGTTTTATTTTCTGCGGTTTATAAATTTAAAAACAATTGCAAACAATATTAATAGGTAGATCTAAGCAGAGTGGCTTGAATTCCAAACTTTTATAATCCCTGCTGTTACTATTGACACAAGGTTTCTCACATTTGTTATATTTGCAGTGTACACCTAAATTTTTCAAACAGTGCTGAAATCATTGACTGTTAATGCTGTTTTCATGGAATCAGAGTTCTCATTTGCCCTAATGCCAGAGTAAGACTGTGTTTTTAATACTTTAATCTAACTTTGAATATATTGAGTGCATCTTTTCTTACATTCTCTTGTAAAATGGTTTTATTATTTTTATATCAAATGCAGAGATTTCAGCATTGATAACCTATTTCTTTATTGTACTGTCACCAGTACAATATTCAATTCTTTTACATGACCAATTTTGAGATGCTTAATCTTTCACTTCTATGTAGCTGTCAAATATAGAATAATTTGGGAACTTTGGTATGTCTAACAAATTCTAACCTGCTTACTGATTTCTTATGAAATGTTAAATGAAATAGGCTTTATGTAAACTCTTCTCTTGTCTGTCAAAACACCAAGACACTTGTCTCCTTTATAATGTTTAGAAATTTTTTAAAGACTGTAATATCCTTAAATAGGGAATGGATGAGAAATCAGTCTATAGCTTTCAAACTGATGTGCTATATGTTATAAAGTACCAGCTCAGGATAACCCACTGCAAATAAAATGTAACTATTACTTTTAAGCCACAGCTTCCTATTGGTAGCTCAGTCATGTCTCAGCCTTCAGGTTTTCTTCATTGAGTTGGTTGAGCTTGCTGTTACCTTGGCATGTGTGTTATATTTTTGGTACCTTTCATATTTTAACACCTACCACTCAAGCCTGACCTATAAGAAATCTCCAGGAATCCTGAACATTGTTTTTGGACAATTCTCCAACATCATACTTTTATAATACTTAGTTAACTATATATTAGCAACAGAAAAACTGTGTGTGTGCCTGTGTACGACTAGGTTTTCTAATTTAAAGGAGTATTAAATATAGGTCTAAACACAGGTGAAATAGTCATTGTTGCCTTGAGCAGCAGTGTGCCAGGAGAGGCAAAACAGCTCTTGGGTCTGTCTCCATGCCTCACACCAGCTGCAGAAGGGTAATGTTGGCTGTAAGTGCTGCAGCAATCACCCCACTACCAAGAGAGATATTAAACTCTGATGTGACAGCTACTTCTCAAGGTCAGTCACACCCAGCAGGAGCAGTCACCATCACCTTTGCCCTTTCGTACCACTGGAGTAAAAAGCCTGACGTTGAGCGCTCGCTCTGTAGATCTCCATCCTGTCGTTTCCATTTCTCTGATGTATCTCTTTGTGTTGTAGAACCTGCTAGCATATTGCTGGTTTTCATCTGAGAAACAGCAAAAACTGAATTTTCCGAAAATATTGTAAACCGTAAGCCAGAGATGATCACTAAGTCCTATTAGTTAAAAACTGCTTAGCTGGTGAAATATTCCTGTTTTCTTATTGCATCGTTAGGCACTTTTTTCTGTAAACACAAGATGGCACTACTGCTCTTTAAATAGGTTCTTGTTTCCTATTTACATTTGAATTATCAATGTTTTTGACACATTAATGTATGTTTTAAAATGTATTTTTTGCATAGCACATTAATTCACTATTACTACCTTTTTAACAGTTCATGTATCCTCTTATCCTATTAATGAGGTATAGTTCACTGTAGAAAGTGATGTCTTGACAAATTTGTTTTACCTCTATCAACCTAATTCACGCAGCTGGACTTTCGCTAAGGAACAAAAAGCTAAAATAGTGAATTGACTCTTAGAATCCAACATGCTTACCTGTACTTGTTATTACCTGCTATATTACCTGTTACCTAGTATCTTATTTTTTTCAATTTTCTCACTCATTAAAATTGTGTGTTAAACTTTTCTACTTGAAAAGCCAAAAGTGACTGCTCTGGTCTTCAGAGTGACTAAGTTAACAAATCATTGCTCGTATTCACACATGGTCAAAGCTGTGAAAAGCCAAAAATAGCTCAGATTATTTTCTGTGTGCATACTTAAGCTTTTGTTCAGTATCTCAGCTTTTATGGTTTACATGTTTAACACAGAAAACAAGTTTTATGATAAGGAACACCAATTTTTTTAATTCACAATTCCAGACAAGGTTTCATGATCTCTTTTCAAGCTGATGGAAGTTCAAGTTGACAGCAAAAAGATGTGCTCCTGCACATTAGTGCTGTATTGTACCATGGCTTTCTGTTTGTATAGCTGAGTTCTGATCTGAAACAGGAGTTGGCTTTGTGAGTTTTGGCCTCACCGTTAAGCAAGGCGGATGCCAGTGCCAATGCATGGATGAGGGTAGAAAACATGTAGTCAGGCTGTCCTTTTTGATTTCAGCCTACACTAAAATAAGTTAGTGACTAGCATGTCAGTCTGAGAGTAAGTAATTTCAATTTAATTTAAATAGGACATACTTTCTAAAATTGACACATGAAGGAAATGAGAAGATTATTTCTGGAGTCTTATTCTCAAATTTTTATAATGTATGACAGGAATAAAACTGTTCAACTATTCGGATAACTAGCATTTGCAATATTGATGAGCATAATTGATCATACAAAGAAGTATTTCACTTTGTGAAGGAGCGGAAGTAACTTTAAATCATATATTGGTCTTTTGGATTTGTAGAAAACAGGATAATTGCTGTTAAAACAATAATTAGAATGAGTTCACTTAATTTTTAGCTGAGAAGCAACAAGATTCAGGCTGCTTTATGACTGGTATCCATTACAAGGTACTCATAGAATTATGAGGGTATTCTCAACGCCCACTTTAGGTAGAGAAGTATTACCCTTACAAGATAGTGAAGAATTAAATGATATATCAAAATTCGAGCATGTGGCTGGGAAATGGTCTACCCTGGTCTGGTTGTTAAGCTACATCAAAATTCTTCCTTCTCCAGCAATTCTTGAAAGAAAGATGGAAGAGGGATGTATGGCTACTAGTTTACTAGTGACTTTTATTATAGCAGCATTTGTTAGTATTGTACTGTATTTTAAATGGGCCACAAGATTTCCATTCCTGTAAAGAGAATTTTCCAAGTCAAGGATGAGTTCAAGGGCTATTTTTTACTTTAGCAATAATATCAAAATTATACTGTCTTTTGTTGGACAGTTACAAATGTTTGTATACTGCTGATTTTATAATTATTTTCTATAACATCTTCATTCTTCTAAGGTTGTGGATTGCATCTCACATTACTAGATTTTTACATGTGCATTGATGTTTTAGCATAATGAAAAGTTCATCTTGTCTCTATTTTAAATATCTCTGGTTTGATCAGGAATTAGGGCAGAAGAAGAGGGGCTGGGATGTTAACTTTATGTAAACTTCAGTGCACGTTCTTGCAATAGCCAAGAGTCTGTATTCTGTCTTCTCACCTGAGGAGATAAAACTGGAGGTTGAGCCAAAGCAAAATTCATCCAATCCATCAAGTTCTGCCTGAAGCCTGAGAAGAAATGAAGCTTGGAAAAAGTCATAAAATGCTGAATTTGGGGATTTTGGTATCTTCCATGTTTCGTTTTGCACCCTTCCCTTGTGGGAGTGAGGCTCTGCTTTAGTAGAAATCCTGTTAAGTACTGCAATCAATGTAATAAGCAATGATATATTAAATGCTGGGAAAGAGGCAATAAAGGCCAGCAGAATCATGTTTATGCTTTTTAAAAAAAGGATATACTTCACTTTTCAGCAAAGATGTCCAGGAAGCTAAGTTTGCCAACTGAGTTAAAGCCTGATTTAGGTAAGTTTACCTAGTTGATTTTATTTTTACTAAAACTGTTTTACAGAATGCGAGTACATTAAAGTAAGGGTCCTAAGTTATGTAAACTATCATGACTTCGTTGCATTTATCTGAAGTGTAGAACTAAAATTTTAATTCCATTCTTTGGGGGGGCTCTCAGGCACAAAATATCATTGCTGTCATCATAAGGTAAGCCTGCAAATCTTGTACATGGCTTATCGCATGTTCATCATAGGTTTTTAGGCATCTGTCACTCACTTCATCAGTAGTTCTGTGATAGCCAAAGTGTGAATAAGCAGATAATGTAAGGAAAATTGCCTGTTTAGAAGCATCTGATACTTCATTTTTCAATTTAAAATGTATCTTAAGAATAACAGGATATGTTGAGGGCCACTCAACAAATAGTTGGACATAGTTTTACAAATGTTAATTGTCTTGTGACCACTCTCTCTAAATGAAAATAATATACAGCTGTTTGGATGGATGACCAGTCTGAGAATTTAATTTTTCTTGAAAAAGCACAGTACCTTTTTATATAAGAAGCAGTTCAGTTGTGAAGTCTGTAGTACTAAAGGTCATTAATTGCATAACTAAAGCAGCATACAAATGAGTAGGTTTATTGTTTTTTTAGTACTTTGGCTGCCAGCTTGTAGATCAGTTCCAGCCCTCCTGCCTTCTTATCTAAAGATGATGGGGCACAGCAGTAGACCTACAGCAGTAGATGCAGCCTGAATGTGAAAGCTGCCTTCTGCCTGCCACAGCTTGCTCCCCTTCCTGCAGCAGCATTGCTACCACAACCCCAGCAGAAGACAGACCAACATCAGCCTGGCAGGTGCAGAACTGTGTATTTGACAACTGCAGCTATCAGCAAGGAAAGAGTCCACAGCACTGGGATATCCTGAAACTGAGCTGGACCACCCTGATTTACAATTTACAACTACAGCTTGCTCTTCTCAGAGAAATGTGAAGTTAGAAGGAACCCTCAGAGATCCTTTAATCCATTGCTATGGCAAGGATCCAGATGTCTGACAATTTAACCTCTCATCTCTTCATGAGCCTCCAATAAATAAGTTCTTAGAAAAATCCCAGACAGAAAGTTTCAATGTTTTATAGTCAGTTAGACAAATTTCCTGTTATTTAATCAATCTTCCTTGCTTCCATATTAACTTTATCTTGTCCTTTTCACAATGAACAGGGATAAATGCTCCCTATCTTTTTGTTAGCCATCTTTTATGCTGCTGAATGCTGTCATCATATCTCTAATCTTCATTTTTGCAGATTTTTTTTTTTTACAAAACTCAGTTTCTTCTCCTTTTTTAGGTTATGTTGTCTAAAACTAGGATGGTTTCTGTTAATCTCCCCTGGACTTGGAATTTTTCCTCATCTTTCTAAAACTTTTGTGCCCAGAACTAGAGGGATTTAACCGTGGCCTTGTTGGCATGAAAGAGCAGAAAAAATTGATTTCTTTTTTCAATGTGTGTCTGTTTTTCCTTATTAGTTTACTGATGGGTTAGGGATAACTTCATTTTAGGGTAAATTTTATCATACTTTACAGACTGGACTACATTTGTATTTAATTATTATCCAATTCATTCTAATTCTACTGTTTTAGTACACAGAAGTTTTCTTTTTTTTATGAGGACTGGAGAAAAGAGAATGCTGAAATTCTTTTGGTATTTTCCGATCCTGAAAGAGTTTGTGTTATCTACATCACTTAATATTTGCTGTTCTCTCTACTGAAATAATGGAATTTTGTCATCTTCTGGTATACTCATAAAATAGTTTGTACCTTCCAAATTGTAATAGCCTTTGACTGGTTTACTTGACTTTGCATGTGTGTAGATCTCTGCACTTAGATGGCTCATTTTGTTCTGTGTAAAATTCTTCTAGGTTTTCAGGTCTGTAAATAACTTCCTTAGGCCATTATGATCTTTTTTTATTTTACTTCTATCATTTCTCCTAGTGGGATACCTTTTGCATATTCTTCAGATTGTCAGCTGAAATGCCTTTCACTATCCTTATCATTTCCATGATCTCATTCTTTCAAATTACTTTTCTGTCTAGATCTTTAACCTACCCCTTTTCCTCCCTAAATACCAAAACAAAATCTAAAGTATGTGCTTCTGTGTTTATCCTCCACTTTCTAAAACAGAAATTATCTTGAACATACTCTAGTCTGCATTATACCGTTGCTTTTCAATGTTGTAATCCAGATGATTAAGGTACCATGGCCACTAGGTCAAATCCTTTGGTTTAGTGTCTCGAGAGTGCCTCATCTTTCCATTCTTCAGATGAAGTGGTGTGTAGTGGGTCATCACATTGTTCCTTCCTCTTCGTCTGAAACTAATCTGTTAACAAACCATGGATTCTTCCTTGACTTCAGGATAAATAATATACACTAATGCAGTTAAACTCTTTACCTCTAGTTCTCTTTCCTGAATGAATGTCTACTCTCCACAATGCCTGTATTGTCTGGCAAGTTAATTTTTTTGAGGTTTTTCCTGTCTGTTCCAATCTTTCCGGAATTTGTACACATGCTCTTCAAATACTCAACCAGATGCAACTCAACAAATGCGCATTTAATCTGTTGCAGTTAACATGTGATTACATTCAGACTGATTAATCCATTTTAGAGTTGAAAAAACATTGTCAGTAAATATTCAAGCCTGAACAAACAAGTATTTAAGAGGTTGTGGTCATTAGAAGAATTATAAAAACAAATAATGGTTTTCATTGTTTTATTCTGAATTTGATTTTTTTTAAAGTGAGAACTTAAGATGTCAACATCTGAGTGGTTGACCTTAGTTTCTTTTTATAATCCATGTTTTACACTTGATTTAGCTAAAATTTGACAGAACAATAATTTTTCTATCCTTCTTGGAATAAGACAAGTATCTCCTGAGAAGACTTGGTTTCTGTTGAGTAGATGTCTGTATTTAGTCAGTTGAAATCTAGCTTGTATGCTTTTCAAATGCATGTTAGATGTTCTTTGTCGAAAGTTTTGCAATAATTTAATGAAATTAGCGTAGTGATACTTCCAGAAAGTACATGGTTAAATGTTGTTCTTCAGCTCTTAATCTTGCTTTAAAGATGCCCACTGCATCTATACCTTACCCAGAGATCTGAAACAACTTAATTTTTTCAAAGTCATGATATAAATTGCATCAAGCTTTTCCTAGTAAGGGTTTTCTTGTGCTAAAATTTTGGAATAATGAGTTAAGTAAAGCATTAATTTGTGAACGCACAGATAAATTCAGACATGCTGGTGTGTTGTCACCACTTGCACAGACAGCGCACAGCTAGAATGGAGCAGCACATTTACTGCTTTGAGGCTTTTGTTAATATTAGAATTCACTCTCTGTTCCAAGAACTGTATTTGCTGAGCAATGAGCAAGATGTCCTGAAAAGTTTTAGGGCCATTTTGTACAGTACTCAAAACAGAAATCTTCAGCTTTGCATACCAGGGCCTGGTGGCATTTACTAGCATTTGACATCTAAAAGTTTGGGTGTGTGTAAGTAGCCTGTTAGTCGTCCTCCATACACTTTCCTAAAGTGGAACAATATTATTGTGAGTCATTACAGGTTACATGTTATCATGCTGTCTGGATGTCACTGCAGTTCTTAAACTAAAATAGTTGCATCTTCGTAAGATTAAAGTGTTCCATGGAAGACAATATTTTTTAATCTGATCAATGAATTAATTGGCAGAGAGGTTTGTAATTCTGTTTTTTTTTAAAGGAGGAGTCCTGTTTGACTGTCATTCTCTGTCCCAAGGAAAAAAAATATGCATAACAATTATTCAGGACTATTACCTAATGGCAACCTCTGCAAAAAAACATGCAGTTCTTTGTTCAGGATACAGTGTTGAAAACTGGGCCAAAAGGAAATATGACTAAGGAAGAATACAGGAGTTAATAGAATGGTAGTTAGTATGTACTTTATGCTAAAGAACAAAAAACAAAATCTGAATTCTTTTAATGCCTCCATTTTGCCATTCTTTAATTAATATTGATTTACTTTCAGATGTCAAGGACAACTCTTTCAGTCGATCCCGGAGTTCTAGTGTAACTAGCATTGATAAAGAGTCACGCGAGGCAATTTCAGCTCTTCATTTTTGTGAGACTTTCACAAGAAAGGCTGATACATCACCTTCCCCATGCCTGTGGGTTGGGACAACGCTGGGTACGGTGCTTGTCATTGTACTAAACTTACCCCCAGGAGGAGAACAAAGACTTCTTCAGCCAGTAATTGTTTCTCCTAGTGGTACGTACAAAGCAGACAGGCTAACTTATACTTTAATAAAGTATTGTTGTCATTATTTTTTTAAAGAAAATGTTTTTCTCAATTATGGATTAATTGAAGCTTTATATACTTCATTGATTTAACTGCTAAGATTAACCATCTAGATTGGGTAGTTCATTACCAGAGTTTTAAAACTGCAAAATTGAAAATATGATCTCCTATAATATAAAAATATGTTTTTAATGTATACTTGCTGAGAAATGCGTGTTTTATAACCTTAATGTAGTACATAGCAAATGTTAAACAGAAATAATAGAAGATATGAGTATGCTTAGATTGGATATTAGGAAAAATTTCTTCACTGAAAGGGTGTCAAGCACTGGAACAGGCTGCCCAGGGAAGTGGTTGAGTCACCATCCCTGGAGGTATTTGAAAAGAATGTAGATGTGGTGCTTAGGGGCATGGTTTAGTGATGGACTTGGCAGTGCTAGGTTAATGGTTGGACTCAGTGGTCTTTTCCAACCAAAACAATTCAATGATTTTATTTCAAATGGTCTTTTTTTTTTTTTTTATCATGAGGTAGAAAACTTTCAGTTTTCTTGCATCATGAAAAGGGAATACAAACTAAGGGTTGTATATTGAACAACTAGCTTTAAATATTAGTGATAAAATATTCCTTTACATTGCAGTGAGAGGTCTTGTATCTTGTTTTCCTGATACACAGCAACTGATTTTGCTATAATTATGTATTAATGGTTTGCTGAATGTGCTGTTAAGCATAGAGTTAGTTGTCCTGCTACTACTGTCCCATGTAGAACATGCTGAACTGCTCCACTTTGCTCATGTAGATGGTATCAGGACACGGAAATTGCAATGCTGTTTGATTGAAATAATGATTAGGAATAGTGTGACCTCTAGACCGTATTTGTTTTGTGCTTATCAGGTATGGCATTGGCAGCAGTATTCAGATTTGGTAATATTTGATTGTAAAGGCAACGCTGCAGACTTGACAGTATCTTTAATCACTGGATCTGCAGCACAAACCTTAAATAGGGCCATGTGTATGATTTTTGCGTACTTAGCAAATGTTCATGTTTTTACTCACGTGTGAATTAATATAAGTAAAATAAGAAATGTATTAGCTTCAGATCTGGCCTACAGAGATAGTGATTTAAACAGTGGGGAGGGAAAACTTTTCCTCTTTCAGTTTATGCTAGAAAGAAGTGGATTCCAGTGTGAACTGCAGCGGGGGAAAAAACCTTACATGTTGCTTGTTTCTGAACCTGTCTAAAGAAAAAGTAGGTGCTCACCTTTCACTAATAACATGTATTGTTGATATTAAGCATACTGTGTACTCCTCAGGAGAAAATGAAATTAGTTGCATTTGTGACATTGAACATGAATACGAACGTGCATTCCAGCTTGGCTCTCCTATAAATGTATACATTTCCGTTGAAGTTAACAGAAGAGTATGCGTACACTTAACCCTTGAAAAGTGGTTTAACACTTCCTTGAATATGTACGTAGCTTGAACAACAATTTAGGAGAACTGCTTTAGAAATGTGCTCAACTTCTTTTTCCTAGGAACCATCCTGAGGCTAAAAGGGGCAATCTTGAGAATGGCTTTTCTGGATACCACGGGATCTTTGGTCCCACCAGCACATGAACCCTGGAGAGAACACAATGTTCCTGAAGATAAAGATGAAAAAGATAAATCAAAAAAGCGACGACCTGTCTCAGTGTCTCCCTCTTCCTCTCAGGAAATCAGTGAAAACCAATATGCAGTGATATGTTCGGAAAAGCAAGCAAAAGTTATCTCACTGCCGTCTCAGAACTGTATTTATAAGCAAAACATAACAGAGACTTCTTTTGTTCTTCGTGGAGATATAGTGTCATTGAGTAACAGTGTCTGCCTTGCCTGTTTCTGTGCCAATGGACATATTATGACTTTTAGGTAAGACCTGTATGAAAGTAACTTAAATATAAAAAGAACAAATAGTCTTCTAGATAAAATTTTCCTTTTCTGTAAGGAATATGAATTGAAAAAAATCTGCATTCGCTCCGTGTCGATGAACTTCTAACACCTGGGCCTGTATAATTTTGATTGTGCATTCCTACTAGTTATGCCTTTAACACATGAAAAAGTTTACCAGTTTAGCTCAAGCTACCCTGAGCTTACCTTTTTTGTTGAGTGGCTTGCTCATGTCTTAAAGGCCTTAAACTCAAGCTATAAAGACAAGATTAATTGCTAGCAGTTGTAGTATAGAAATAAGTCATCTAAAGTAAGGGATTTAAATGTGTAAAAGTAATGTTTGAATACTTACGTGTCACGTATGTAATTTTTAATATATCCTTCTTGAATATTGCCAAATGTTATTTTATTCGGAACAGCAGTGTGTATATATCTATACCCTTAAACCTACATTTTAGTCCTGGCTTAAAGGTGAGATGAATGTGGAATATGGCATTATAAAATTGTGCCAGTAAAATTCCTAAAAGATTATTTTTAAGGTTGCAAAAACAAGCTCTCAGCTTGGGGAAAATCTCTAAAAAGATACTTCTTCAGGAAGTTGTTAGGAATAAAACTAAAGCTTATCTGATGCATACTACAATTACAAAACAAGTTTTGATTGTGAAGTCTGTTAACTTTATTAATCTGTATCCCAACATATATTCTAAACATCTCTAGAAAATGCTGCTCACCTTGCAGGGCAAGCAGTCTTTTTTTCCCCTAATTAAAACTGAACTTAATAATGTTCAGGTAATATATATTCCAGTAAATTATGTTTTCCTCAGGATTCATTTTCTAAAGTTTTCTAAAGAACTTTGCATAGGTAGGTGCTAAATTATAAATATTGACTTGTTACATTGTCTAGGGAAGTTGAACTCCCAAGAATTAACTCCATTTCATAAGCATGAATTGCTGCTAGGAAGTGGACTTAATGTGCTGTCTGTGTAACATTGTCAGAGCATTATATCATACTCAAGATACTTACATACTGATGTAGGGCTAGATAGGACTTACAATTCCATTATAGATTTGATACTCTGAAAATGCTATCATGGATGTCATGCTTGTCCTATCTGATCTAATGTTTCTGTGTTTTGTCTTGAAGCTGTAAGGACATCTTATGCTTCCATCAGTCTGACGCAAAGCACTTCCCTGTTACTCACTCTTAAGAATATTTTTATTTTAGATAGGTGCACAGCAGATGTGTCACTTCTGGGTGATGTGCTTACAAAAGAATATTGGGTTTTTATTTCTTACCTCTAGAACTTGCCTCCAAATTCATGTTACCTGTTCTTCCTTTTGTTTGCCATAGATGAAGTCTCCTGCTAAGAGATAATCCACAATCTGTAAAATGCAAGCTTAACATTTAGAAATCTGTGTTATACAAAAAAATCCCAATGCTTACTGTTGCGGTTACTACATCTTTCTTCATTGCTTTCAGCTTCACTTTGCCCCTTTACTGCTCTTTTAGTTTCTAGAAATAATAGTCTCATGCAGATGGTATCTGCAGCAGAGGCTGCTTAATGTATTGTTGGTATGTTTGCAGCTAACATCTCGTCTAAATCATGTTTTTACAAAAATTTCACAGGGGATGTTTTTGAGACAGCGGTTTATTTTGGGTTCTCTTTATCAAGACATCAGGTGTTCAGTCACTTCTTACTTGCATTTATTATTACTTTGAGGGAGAGAAATGTTTGGTAGCAAGAGCATTGTTACAGCCCGAGTGTGTTGCATCTGTTCTTCAGTAGTTTGATGCAGTAAGTACTGCAGTTACATGTGCACAATCAGAAAATACAAGGTAAGTGAACTTTACTCTGAGGACTTCCTTTAAATATGCAGTCAGGCAAAAAAAGGATGTAATTCATAAGATTGTTGTTTGAGGCTTCTGAATTCTGTTTTCCTTTGAAAGCACACCCCTGCATATTTCCAAGTGTTCTTGAGGTGAGATCTTTTAGACTTGTATTTTTAGTCAAGGAGAAATTCTTCACGTGAGAGAAGAGGCAGGATGTTTAATTGTAAACTTTTGGCAGATACTTATCAAAATACTTCATTAGTAATTACTGAATAATGCTTTAAGTGAGTCTGTGATTTACATGCTCAGAGTATCATTTAAATGATGCTTTTAAATGCATCTGTGATGCAGATGTTTAAATTTCACTTTTGAGGTGCTACCTTGAAAATATTTATGTTTTGAGATTTTTCTAATTGCATTAAATGATACCCTGTTTATGTGGTACATATGCAGATGAAGAGAAAAATATTGTAACTTAAAAATGAGCCATGTGATAAATAATAGACAATCCTGCTATATTTAATGGGTTCTTTTAATTCTTTTTTCTTAAGTTTGCCAAGTTTAAGGCCATTGTTGGATGTGTATTACCTGCCACTCACCAATATGCGGATAGCCAGAACGTTCTGCTTTACCAATAATGGACAAGCACTCTATCTTGTCTCACCAACTGAAATACAGAGGCTCACCTACAGTCAAGAAACATGTGAAAATCTTCAGGTAATGAATTAAAAATAATGTCTGTTTTCTGACATAAATATATTCTGAGGTTCACAGTTCTAGGTTCACAATGCTTACAGTAATTAAGCTTGTCGTAAAGCTGAGCACTTCAGCTTCCGTGCTTTGATTTTTCTCACTGTAGATTCTAATTCAGGATGAATCACTTCCCCTACTCTTAAATTTTACTGTTTCATACATCCTCTTGAAACCATCATTTGAAACAGTTTGTTACTTAATTTCCTTTTTGATCAGTGGGAAATTTCCTTGTTTAACATGTGCAGTTAACAAAACTCCCTTGTTCAGTTGATGCTGGTGGAGGTACATGATGACACAAGTGGGGAATGCTAACTCAGGATACTTGAAGGAAGCCATTATGATTCAGGGGTGTTAACATCTTGAAAAGATTCTCAACCATGCTTTAGCTTGGAAGCTGTATAGAATGCTGAAATAGCAGAGATGCAGGCTGTCAGCTCTACTTTCATACCATGCATGGATATGAGCATTTGTAGGTACAGTTTTAAGAGAATAAAATCAGGAGTGTCGTGCAAATTGTTGGGGGGGGGCAAATACAGCTTTACTCGAAACCATTTCTTTTATAGCTGATGAAATTCAGTAGCAGCTTCCAACTATAAGAACAGATGGTTTGGACAGATTTCCTGTTATGTCTTTATTTTTTATTTCCTAAGTCACCTTACAAAGGCAGATGCCTATTAAAGCATATTCATTTTGAAATTAAAATCCACAAAATAAATCCTTAAAGTGAAAGAATATGCCATTAATTTGTCTGTGAAATAACATATGCCTTGTTGTGTGTCGTCTTTATTGCAAAGGAAATGTTGGGTGAGCTCTTCACTCCTGTAGAAACACCAGAAGCACCGAACAGGGGCTTCTTTAAAGGCCTGTTTGGAGGTGGGGCACAGTCACTTGACAGAGAAGAACTCTGTAAGTTTTTAGTATTAGTTATCTTTCTGGTATTTCTACTTAAGGAAGCCAGTGTCCTTGAGAAATGTATTACCTGTGTTAATAGAACATCTCGTTTGCAAAGAAGAAAGTAAAAAATGGAATGACAACTATATTTTCATAGCTTTCGTGTTGTATGCCTTACCAACAAGATCAGAAAAGCTTGGTACTGTTTTCTCACAGGCTTCTTTACTTCATTTATTCAGGAGTATATTATAAAACAAGAAATGGGACAACTGATCTTATTTTTATTCATCTTTAGGAAGTGTATAGTACTGACTTATTTTCTTAATGCAATTAAGCCAAAAGGGGCTGGTTCCAAAGAACATTATTCTGGACAGTGAGAAAATTAAAATTCCATTCTACTTCAGTTCATTTGCTGGATTCTTTTTCCTCATTTGACTTGTGCAGACGTGCCTTAAGAATGAGAGCAAGGACAGAACTGTATGATAGTTCAGTTCAGTCCTCTCTTTTATAGGACAGTAAAATTCAGATTTGGCAGGTTTTACTGCATTATCTTTTTCCTCATTGTTTTTTGATCAGTTTTTTTGCTGTGGTTGCGTGCAGAATTTTAATATATTTAAGGAAAATAACTTCCACTTATTCAGATATTTGCTAGATGAAACACTATATTATGCAAGTTTACTTATAAGAAGAAATGTTTCCTTTTTAACATGAAACATAGCTGTTAAAATGGACAAGGCTCCCTGGCAATCCTTTCTTTCTTTTATGGGTTCTTTTGATCTATCTAATAATAAAGTAGTCTTTACTACTTATTGCCTGTACACTTTGAACAAATATCAAATGTTTAGAGGTCACTTTCTGCATTAAAAATTCCATTTGTATTTATATATGTGTAATAGTTTGAAAGGTTGGTCAAGTATTCTATTAGAGAAATTTGTGTGCACAAAAGATATATGTTTAATTAGTATCACTGGGACAGGGGAAAACTGCCTCTTCATGGCAACAGAAAAACACACCTGTAACTTTAAAGGCTGTTTATATCATTTCAAGTTTCCACCATTTTGCCCTGACTCTTCTGACCTATTTTTAAGGAGATTACAAATTTTGTATAACTCAGTCTCAGATTTTGACTTCTGACAGAGAGACCTGTTTTGACTCAGATCTTCAAGAGGAACATAGTATTGATTTGGGGGGAAAAAAGCCTAATGAATTGTAGCCTGAAAATGAGTTCAATGACTATTTTCAAGAAATTTTCAGATGTCTTTTGAATTGTCATATTTAACATGAGGGTCATAGTAGAACCTGTAATAAGTGAAATGATTTCTTTCTGTAAATTCCCAAGTCTAACAATGTTTATAGTGTTAGTTGAAATCTAAATTGTTCTTCCTAGAAGCATAAAATCAAATCAGAAAATTGTGAAATACTACAACAAAACTTGTTAAATGAGTCAATATTATTCTTCCTAGAGATAAAAAAAAAATTTAAACCATAATTCAATTTTTTTAAAAAGCTAAAGATTATTTGATTTGACTTGAGTATCCAAAAATGTTTTGGCATTTACTTAAATTTTTGTAGAGTATACAATTCAGCATGAGATTGACACGTCCGTTAAGTGCCTAGACTGAACTAGGTGGCTGGCTACAGCAGCAAAGCACCTCCAGAACTGACGCAGCTTGTATTTTCAAAATTTTCTTGTTTTGTCTGCTGAATTCCCAACACCTTCCCTCTGAAGCGGTCTATTGAAGTGTTAAACCACTTCACCAGCACAATTCTGTTGTTGATTGTGATGCCAGCACTGTTGAGAGAGTTTTAATTTCACACTCAAGCTGTGAAAAGACTGTAATTTTATAACCTGCCTGGAAACTGCTGAAATATGTTTGAAAAATCTCAATTTTATTTAATATTAACATCTAGTAACAGTGAGTATTAGAGAGTACTGCTCGTAGTCATGCCTATGATTAGGAGTTCGGTATCCATGCAAAGAAATGACACCTCTTTATAAAGCAGTTACATTGGTATTTATGTAATAACCATAGAAAACCTTACTATTGTTTTTGCTGTTTTGCAAATGCCTCCAGTTGGAGAATCAGCATCTGGGAAGGCATCAAGAAGTCTTGCCCAGCATATTCCAGGGCCTGGAGGTATTGAAGGTGTCAAAGGAGCAGCATCTGGTGTAGTTGGTGAACTAGCACGAGCCCGGTTGGCACTAGATGAAAGAGGACAGAAACTAGGAGAACTGGAAGAAAAAACTGCAGCTATGCTTTACAGTGCTGATTCTTTCTCTAAACATGCTCATGAGGTGAGTCCATTGCATGTTAAACTGAGACCGTTAAACTGGTTCTCTAGCAAATAAATGCAAGTTTTGCAAGTAACTGACTTCTGAGAAGGCATGTTAGAGGTATCTAAAGGGAATGCAATATCATTGGTAAAGGACACTTCACTTGATCTATCAATCATTGCTCCTAGTAATTACTGTAAGCAGTTCTGTCTTATGGCACGTTGGTCTAGAGCAAACCTTCTGCCTGAGTGGCATGTAGACTTCCAAAAGTGTGGCTCAGTTCCCATTGCTTAAAGACTTTGTCACTGAATTGGATAAGAAGAGTAATGCTCTTGAGAGATTCCTGTGGTTCTTAAGATCCAGTTGTATGCAAACCCCATGAATCCAAGTTAATTTTTTTCCTCGCTACATAGGATGGCTGTTTTCTTCCATGTCCATGCAGATTTCTTTCTATCCCCTAAACTCTTGTGCTACCTCCTCATCCTCCCAAAAATGCCTTTCTTTTTATCTGAGGCTAGATCAGCAGTGATACTGCCATTAGAAAATTCATCCTGTTAAACCCTCACAGTGCAGCAATGTTGTTGCAGTTTGGAGAAGCCTTACTCAAGTCCCTCTTTCTCATGCCGCTTTGTAAGCGTGTAATTTGTTTGTATCATTTTACTTTTTGGTACATTATAGAAACAGTAATTAGAAAATTTTTGTTTGTTTTTTAGATGATGTTGAAGTACAAAGACAAGAAGTGGTACCAATTCTGATGATGCTCATCAATTACATCTGTTTAATTTTGTCCTGATGAAAAAAAATCTTGGTTTTTCATTAATTTTGGCAGGACCATTGAAACTTAAAGGAGTATTCACCATGGGATACTGTTGTTTCCTAGCACAAATCACACACTGTTTTACCTCAGTCGTGGCTTTAACTGAGGAGCTTTATATTTAAGAAACACACACAGAAAACCAAACTTGAGTGTTTCTTAGCTGTTAGTTAGCTGAGAGTTGGAACAGAAAGTAACTGGAACATGTGGAAAAGAGGGTAAAGGGAACACGTAGTGTGAGATGGGCAGGGGCAATGCAGGGTCAATCCTGTGTTAATATTTCATATGCCAAAAGTTTTTGTGCTATTGTAATTGCTGCCAGTGTTATACCCTCCTGTGAGGAGAGGCAATAAATCAGGGGTCCAAGAGCTGGAATAAAGTTTTGTCTCGCTGGACAGTAGCTGACTTACACTTACCCTCTAGGACTCGCTGTATTTACTATTATTGTTGAAGAGCTGAAGTTTGCTGTTGCTTCTTTCGTCGGAAAAGCTGGAAGCTTGGAAGATTTCATGTTGAAAATTGTATACATAGTTGACCTGTGCATAGTCTTTTCTTGGACCCCTGATCTAGTATTCTTGTATTCACATCATATTCTGTGAAGTGCAAAATAAGAGAATACACAATTTTTGCATTAAAAAGTCAAGTGAATAATATGACTGGAATGTGTCATGCTGGGAGTTTTCATTTGTGTTATGGCCGTGCTACGTGAAATGTGGTAACATCTTCATTGTGGTGAGAATACTTTAACTTCTGTTCAGTTAAATATTTTTTGCCAAAAATAGCTATTGATTCAGTTTGTATTACGTTTAGAATTGGCTGTGGGTTCCATCAATGCTGTGATTTTTTTATAAATGCTTAACAGAATGTATCTTTACAGCCATTAATTAAAATAGCTGAGATAGTTTTGCTCAAACCTTAAGTTCTAGGTGCCCCTTTAGTCATTTACTATGAAATCAGATAATCTTGGACTCAGGTTCTCAAACAATTTGACACTCTGTGGAGGTGCTGATGCATGAATAATGGCAAGCATCTAATATTTAATAATTGTCAGTATATTATTTAGCAAATTTGTAAATCCTGCCTAGTAGAGCTATCTTACAAGTAGCTATCTCAGCTGCACCCAGCACTACAGGCACTGGGCCTAAAGTTTGGATTTAGTCTCTAAAGCACTGTTTCCAGTGCGGGCAGTGGTAAGTGTCCAGTAAAACTTCAGGAACTGGTGAAATAATGTTCACTTTGGGTAAGGTCAATAAGATAGCTGAGCTAACTTCTTAATGACTGCTGCACTAAAGCTGTAACAGGGGGAATGACCAGAGCTCTTTTAGAAAGAGAGGATTCCTCAAAATAAATGTTTGCTTTTCAAAAATTAACTTAGACTTTTTTCCTCAAAGCAGAAATAGTTACTGACTAGTTTCGTTTTATAAAAGGGAGTACTTAGAAGCTAAGTCTACATTATCTGAAATTAGTCATTGGGTTTGCTTCTCCAAGCATCACATTTTGTGTGGGTTTTTTAACGCACATTCTGAATGTTCCCAGAGCAAAACTTTGGTTATATTTGTAAAGTGATGTTGCAGGTACATAGATAAGGTAACCTTACAAAACACTTAAAGGATGCAAAAATAGTAAAGTTACTGATGGTTCTTAAATAGTTTTTTCAGATGAAAAGCAAATGTTTGAGCTTTGTAGACAAATTGATGATTTTTCTGATTTTATGTATAGTAACATTTAAGACAAGTGAATTCTGTTGCCAGTACAAGGGCAGACCATACCTTGTCCACTGTTCAAAGAACTGAAATCAGAACATGACAATTTGAACAAGCAGCATTGATTTCTTGATAGCTCTGTCCTATACCTGCTGAGGCAATGTTAACTCCAGTTAACTCGGCTTGCCATGCGGTTTTTTGCCTCTGCTTGTTAATTTCTCTTTTTAGTGTCTAATTAATATGTATTTAGCACCATTTTGTTTAAAATCTAGGTAGAAGAAAACTAGATAAACTACTATCCATACAATTTAAAAAAAAACAAAACCACCGTAGCTGACATTTGTCCCCTTCCTTATCTCACATTTATAAATTGAGATGACTGATTATTACTTGACCTGGTGAAGATGAACTATATTTCACAGCAACAGAATCCTGGTCAGCCTCTTGCGGAGAGGATGGGAAAAGTACTCTTCAGCATATTGTGGTATCAGTTCAATGGAAGATGACATGGGCTTGAAAGAAAAGTGTACTTAACTTTCCCATCAAGAAACATTTGACAACCACCAGCAAGCAAAAAAAAAAAAAAAATAAGAGGCAGTGAGAGACTGTCTGCCAGTACAAGAGGAGTAGTGGCTTATTTGGTATTACAGAATTTAGCATAGTTGAATGTTTGGTTTTTTTCTGTTGCATATGTTCAGAGCATGCTTCTAGATTTGAAAAGTAGTTAAATGATTGCTCATGAGATGACTACACAAATGGTTCTTGGTCAATAAAAGGGGCTATGTACAATTTTAGTCTAAAACGTTCCTTTTTCCTTCTCTGTGGAAGGAAGTCGATCATACACACATCATTGCATCTTATTCTGCTATTGGTGGTGCACTTTCTGTACAGCAAAGTACATTGAAATCCTTGGCGGGGAGCACCCCTGGTTTTTTCGCTAGTGTTTTAGTAGTGTGAAACTTTTTTAGAGTGTCTGGAAAACTATAAAATACAAATGAGCTATTACTTTTTTATTTTTTTTGATGGAAGCGTAAGAAACTGCTGCTACCTGTTTATATGTAGTGTGTCTCATTAGGAACTGTAAACTGAAGAAGCTTTTCTTCACCTTAGTCCTGCCAAATTGTAACTTTTGAATGTTGATATGTGTAAATATGCGTGTATTCCAAATAAGTCTGAAAGTGTTACACCACAGGCATTTCCAGTGATTGTTCTTCAGCAAACAGTCAGTTATAAAATATAATAATATATAGCTGTGTTCCTTGTCTGTCTTTATGCAAAGATTTTTGCCTGCGGTGGTACTTGCATGTCAGGTGATGTTGGAAAGCTACATCCAAAGGAGGACTTTTGGAAGCAAGTTCATTTCCTTTTTGCCTTTTTGTTTTCCTTTTCTCTTTCCTTTTTTTTTTTTTTTTGCTTAATTAATGGCACTGATCTTACCTGAACTCTTAAACTTGAATTTTTCCTGCACTTTAATTCAATCATGGTATTTTATTCCTTAATTTTCTTTCTACACTTGTGCAGTTCAGGTTCATTATTTGTATATAAACACACACATTCAATAAAGGCTATAGAACAGATTACTTTTGGGCATATTTGCTAATTATGTGACTATCATTTAGAATGTGTGTTTTCTTAGCAAAATATGTATATACAAGTATATACAATACAGAATCTAATGAAAGGCACTTATCCTGTGTCAGCATTCAGTTTATAAATTACTGCAACACTTTCAGATTTGTTACTAGATAATACAATAAAATCTGTTATATTTATACATACTGCTTAAGAATATACTTTTAGTTTTAAATAATTTTTATATGTACACTTCTATCTTTAATTTTAAAAAGATTATGTTCAATTTTTAAGTCAAAGTACTTAAAGTATGTATATTATCCATAGAAGAAGTTGTTTTAAGCTTATGAATACATTCATATCTCATATCGAGATGATAAAATTACTAATCAATGAAAACAAATAGCCCATTTGCTTTGCAGAAAATAATCATACTTCTTTTTACCTCCCATTTTGAACATTCTTAAACAATTCCCTAAGTATGGAGAGGGAAGATAGTGCATTCAGAAAACCTCATGTAAAAGTTTTCTCAATAGCTGCAGTCTGTGGCTGACTGGTTTTCTATGATTTCATAGTTTTTTTTAGGTATTACACGTGAAAGACTTTTCAGCTCTGTTCCTCAGACTTCTAAAATTCCCCAAAATTGAAGTGAGGTTTGTTCAATAAACATTTTCTTTGAGTAACGTATGACTATACATCAGCTCTTTACATGTAAATCAGTTTGGGC